ACGGGTTCGAATCCCGTTGAAGCCCTGATTTTTTCAGGCTTCTTTTTTCCAATTGCTTAAATTGGAAAATTAACTGCGATGATCATTCTTCACTTCCTTCACATGTTTATTTCACTTTTCTCCCACTTTCAATGCTGTTGCAGAAGTATGACTTCATCTCAACACAATCTACTAAACAGAAACAACAGCTAAGTATCCTTTCATTGGCAAATGTAGAAGCCAGCCATGTCAGAGATCTACTGTACATTATGTATCACTGTTTAATCACCTGTGTATATAAATGTATGTTTTTGTTTCACTGGTCGCCTTTCGCTGATAAGCTTCCAACTGTGCAATCTCTTTTAGCTGAGACTTCGTAACCTAAATATCAACGAAGAAAAGAAAGCCAGTTATTACCAAAGCATTGGTCAGAAAAGTATTTGATACACGATGCCCTTGCAGCAGTCATTTTTTTCTAAACATGAGCGCAAAGCCATGCGGCTCTTACCTTATTGACAGACTTGAGTGAATTTTGTATCCGATCCACAGCTACTGCATGGTCGTCTGGTCCAACACTACAAAATTAACCAAACAAGTAAGACAGCAATGACTTTATGATTGAATAGAATGACTAGTTCTTATATGCCAAAAAGAATCATTTAACTTTGATGTCAATCTCAAGAACAATAAGGAGACGTGCACCAAAGAAACAGTGTGGGTACAATCAGTCAGATATTACACACCAACATGAACACAACTTAGAAATTTGGCAAAATGGTTTAAGTTGGTGGAAAGTGATTTATTGTCCTTTTGCATTAGCCTTTAACCACCATGCATTAGCATTTAATGTCAAAGAATGTGAAATAGCTCTAATACCAACCAGTAAGTCAATCAATTAACCAATCCTTCACTTAACGTGGCGGAAGATATACCACTACATTATGAACCTGTATTCACGACTACATTTTACATGTTCTCTCATAAGTGCCATTTGATATTTGGCAGATCCTTTGAAGCGACACCACAGAACATTCGTTACTTGTAAATGCTTGTTAACTTAAGCAGAAGTTTCATTAAGGGCTGGGCACTGGGTAAATTGACTGGCTGTAAGGATGTTTTTGCCCACCTGGTTCGACCATACAGAGAAAGTTTTTACTGAAAACTTTTAGAAGTTCAGTTCAAAACGTTTAGCTCACCTGCGAAAATCAGTTGCCCCCTTGCTGAAAATGTTGATAAAACCCCTGCTTAGGTATGGTTAATGCTGACTACTTGGCAGGTACATGTAACTGTAGCATTCCGTGACAGAGAGTGCCCTACCTGGACTCTACTACCACTGTGGAATGGATGCTTTGGAGTATTGATTGAATTCTATTTTTTGTGAGCTGATGTGAAGTAACATGTGTATTGTCTCTTACCTTAACAGTCTTGTCAATGCTCTCTCATTATCTAAAGCCTTCCCAAGGTACTTTAAAACTCTGTCACCAGCAAGAAAGAACAGCCTTGTGCCTCCTCGCATTGATTCCGTTTCAGGAAAAAGCTTGATAACCTAAACAGAAGATGCAAATATCTTCTAATAAGCATTCTTAACATAACGTACATGAAAATATTCTTCAACATCAATTGCCTGTTATCATCTATCTACACCGTACATTGCACATAGTCCAGCAAAACGTTTCTAGGAATAAAAGACATTTTTCAAGAGTATTGGAAGAGGTTTGGTAGAATATTTTGTACTTAACAATAGCAGCACAATAGCTAATAAAAGTATGATAACATTTATTTATTTTTTCACAGATTTTTCATCCTTTGTATTCTTTGTATTCCCTACCAAGTTGCATGCCTTAGACACTTGTTTATTAAGAAATAGAAAACATGCACCATGTTTCTATCGAGTTTTAAATAGAAACACGAGTGGAAGTTTGGGAAAACGAGAAATGCTGTGGGAACAAGAGCCGCAGGCGAGTGTTTCCACAGCTTTTCCGAGTTCCCCAAACTTTCACGAGTGTTTCTATAACTCGATAGAAACACGGAGAACATGTTTCCTATTTCTTTTAGAAAACACCACGACCAAAAAAGGAAAACAACTTGTTAACTTTAACTACCAAAATGCAAATTCTCTTTGCTCGCGCCATCATTACGTCAACAGCTCGTGCTAGTTCTCTGTTTCTATCGAGTTACAGAAACACGATTTTTAACCAATCAGCGAGTGTATTTTTTTAGGACTGTTTTCTAATTAGTAATTAGATTATGAGCTCAAGATTTCTATGAGGTGATAGTTGATGAGGCCAAAGGCCTCATCAACTACCACCTCATAGAAATCGAGCGCGAATAATCTAATTGTTTTAGTAGAATTCTTACTAAAATTTACTTCAAATAACGGTTTCCAATTACTTCTTGACGTATTACTAAACTTTGCGCCTGGAAAAGGTCGCTCGGATTGAATTGTCATTTAAAACTGAACTTGTGTGCGGGCGCGCATCAGTTTTTTCAGTAATTTCAACTTTTTTAAATGTCAAGAAACTGAAAATGTCCGTCATTTTGACTTCTCAGGAATTTAATAATCCATTTGCATCAAAATTTTCCTTCAAAATTTTGGAAAAACGAAAAAAACCTCGCCACTTCCTGGACGACCTCCAGCCACTGCACACTAATGGATGATAGTGTTCAACGGCTCAGCCAATCAGATTACAGCATTTGCATTTAGTATACTAGTAGAATTCTACTATTTGACAATAAAAATAAACGGTAAAAGTTTGCGACGTTTCGACCGCTCTTCGGTCATTATCAAGCAAGNTAGAGATAAAGGTGAATGAACACAGGTATCAAAAACTGTGTTCAGCCACCTTAAACAAGGTGGTTTTTTTTCAACGTGTGAATATGTCGGAAGAAAAGTCAACAACCTGCAGGAGTTAATTCACACCAAAATTTTGCCTTTGCATGTACTCCCTCCTCCTTCCCCAGAGTAATAACTGGCTTGAGCCTATGATCCGATCAAAAACCAGTACAGTGGTCAACTTCAAAAAACATGAGACCTCAATGAGGTCTAAACCTGAGCCTGCAATATGGTCACATGATACTGGTCAGCAGATACCTTGCTTTAACAGCTGTCAATTAACCATAATATGGATGTCCAATATCAAAGAATTGTACCTATGGTAATGGTGCAGCTGTAACCAAAAATTTTAAGATCAATGGGTTACCAAATTTTCTAAGGTGTGGGGCTCCGCTCGCACGCCTTTGGCACACAGGAGCACAGCAAAAATAACTGGGGTCTTAAGGATCAGTCAGAATTAAAAAGCAAAGTGAAAACTGGCTCACCTGAACTTGGCTTAGATTATTAACATGAGTTCCACAACACATATTCCTGTCAATGCCTGGTTATTATAAAGCAAATAAACAGACAAACATTACACAACTTTTCACAACAGCATAAAATTTGAATAATAACTGAAAATAACAAACTATAGCACCATTTGGTGCATGGAATTGAGGGACTTTAATCTAAAGGTTGCTACACAATAGGGGACATGTTTTTCCAATAGTTTTTCTCAGTTCCTCAGTGGGTTTGAATTTATACATCATGATTGAAGCAGGAATAAAATGACCTCAATTTTCAATGTATCATCATGTGCGCTGCTCTTGCAAACTGTTCCCGTTGCAACATAGAAATGAACCAAATGAATATCCTCGTCGAGTGCGCCACCTTGCATACTTTCCATGCAGATATGTGCACCATACACACTCTCAGAGTCCCTTGTCCTCCCCTTCACATCCCTGCAACAAATCTTACTAACAACTGCAGTTTTCAGCACATCGACTCAACAAAGAACAATGCATTATAGGCCATTGATTTTCTACAATTTTACTGACCTCAACACTAACCTGGTATTTCAATCACTCTCACTGGACCCTCATGATCATCAGGAAGACCTCTGGTAGTTGCCTGATGGATAAATGAAGGTTTACTTAATTAATGTTTTGACTAAAGGGTTCAGATGATTCCAGAATTTACTAGTGACTGTGACACATTCAGCCAGCATAAAACACTATCAGCTCTAATCTGTTAATTGACATCTGAGCCAGCCTAAGCCTGCCATAACTAGCCCTGATAAGCATTGGCCTATGTTCTCCTTCTGACATCATCAACTTTGCCCAAATTTGGTATCATTTATACTCAAGTTCTGCAGGAGGAAAAGACCTTTCCAATGATACCCAGATCAGAAGGATTGGGTCAATTGAGCCTGAAATATGCACAAAAATGCTGAGAAATTTGAGTGAAAAACCCAGAGAAAATTTCCCTCCAGTATAACTGGCTACTCCTTGGCAAGAATTGCCCATCTCGATGACGTTTTCACAGGAATTCTTGAACAAGAAGCAAGCCCAGTGGAAGGTCAACCACTACAGCAAAAAGATAAGAAAAGGAGAAGAAGGAAAGGCAAAAAAATAAACACTAAAAAAACTGAAAAGCCTAAAGATGTAGGTCACTTTCTCGTCCAAAAACTATGAATCTCAAAATTTTGATTTCTGCACATGGCCAAGCAAAAATGTCATAAAATGCCATGCTAGTGGAAAGAAAGGCATGCGCTGTGATGTTGCAAATGCCTTTTTGAGTTGAATGGAGCTAATTTGGCTCATATCCAGGCTGCAAATGTCCAAAATGTCCAAAAATTGCATTTTTGCCACAAAGCTCCAGGTGTCAATGGGTTAAAGGTTCAAGTCTGTTCCATGTCCCTGCACTAAAATCTGGTGTCCAGTGTCACATTACACGTAAGTGCCAAGATTGCTTGTTCTTCTCGTTTTTTTTCTTTTTACTTTCCCAAGCAGCAATTTGTCAGGCTGCTCCAACAATTTGACAGTACTCATTAATACCCCTGGGAAAAGAGAGAGGTATGGCTGGAGTTATATATTCTAATATACTATTAAGTGGGTCTCAATTCTTCCCTCCTCAAGAAAGTGACTGTGTCAAAGCTAAAACCTGAAGCTTGCAATCTGGAGTCCAGTGCCCTGAACATTAGGAGAAGACAGCCAGCCACTCCTTAGTCATGTCAACTAAATATTATCAAGTGTTATTAATAATGGTTCATCACTTACATGTTCTAGTTCAGGACATGAAGCACTTGGATACACATGTACATTCACTGGCGTACTGTTCCTGATAATTTCATTGGCTGTTGTCTCTATCCATTCCATTTCTTCAGCTGTGAGCTTTTTGCTGTTGAGTTCTATGTGAGAACGTAATTTTCCCAATTCCCTAGAAATTGATTAATTTATAGGAAAACAGTAAAATAATCAACACACTTTTTTTATAAGAATTTATTTTATAAGAATATCAAGGCTGAATTTGCAAAATTTTAAGAATACAATTTTTAAGAATAAATCTGAGCCTGAGATTTTGAAAAGAATATAATTTTGTGGGTTGAAAATTTTACCTAAACCGTATAAAATTCTTCCATTCTCTAAACAACAAACTAGCCACAAAGCAACAAAAACAGCACTAGCTGTATTTTTAATGCTAATAACATTTTTGCAAGAAGTTGTGCGATATCAGGTTTTAATGCCTGCTGACTGGCTCCAAAATTACTTTAACACCATCTAGACTAGACACCAAATACATTCGAAAACAGCAATGTCATACGCTATAATCTAAGAATATTCACAAGAACATTTCAGCCTTACATCAGCTGAAAAATTAGAATATTCAGCTTCTGGCCAGAAATACAATATTCTGACTTATAAAAAAAGGGAGTACCTTCTCACTGCATTACCATCAATGCATTGTACTAACTTGATCATTACACAAGGGAATAGGATTCTAATTTACCCTTTCCTAACTTATATACATACCATGAAGTAGTTTCATAACCAAACTGGTTTTCAATGATTGCAGAAACTAGATGCTGTCCTGAAAGTACATTTAACCAATGATTAAAAGTTACAGATCACCACCAAGCACACGCTTGTTCCTGTAGTACACAAGTAAAGCATTATTGAAGTCTTTTCTGAACTATGTACATGTAGCCTGGTGGCTGATCAATGGTATGGAGATTACCTCTAGTTCCCATACAGATTATTGATTCTTAGCCTATTAATTTAGTGCTAAGAATGTGATGCTACTCCAGTGAAGGTTCCCTAGCAGTTTAGTCAGATTGCCCTACACAATTCTCTGATACCTACTGATAATCCTGGGTGGTGGAAGACACTGTGAGTCACCAGTAGCCCTGTTCTCAACACCCACTGCAAACTTTTGGGTGAATTCTATCAACAACAGGCAATTCCACCAGTGGTATCAAGAGAAAATCAAGCATACTCAGCTGTAACACATGTCATGGGTTACGGTCCTTAATGACAGCCCAGGTGAGGGTGAAGTTTCTTGCCCAAGAACACAACACAATGACCCTGACCAGGGTTCCAACCCAGAGCTCTTGATCCAGAGTCAAATTCACTAACCATTACATTGCTAACCAATCACAGCACAGTCTGTAGATTCCTATAACTGGCAAATCTTAACAATTTTCAATTGAAAGACAGTGGAAAATTAAATGTACCTGAATGTTGCTGCATGTGATCAAACCTTCTTGACCAGTTGACAACAAGTTCAACCTCAGTTGCTTCTGGGATTACTTCAGGAATGAAATGAACAGCATGTTTTCCTTGTCTTACAACTCTCATTACTTCAATGCCATTTATCTAATATTGGACAAAACATACCGTATGTATACAATCATTAGACAGGACACTGAGGTAAGTCAAGAACTGTTTGCCTCAGATAGCATTTAAAGTGCCTGTGAGGTAAAAAATAATTGCTGCTTGTTTCAAAGGCTTTTCAAAGTAAAGAAGAATGACATTTTCCTTTTTGGAATATCTTTTTTCGTTTTAGAGATATTCACGATTTTATATCATGCAAATGAGGAAAGTGTTGACGTCATAGGTGGTTCCTCTAAAACAGCACAACACCCAATTGAGAATA